GAGAAAACTGCCAGAGGAGGAAGGTGGAGAAGATTGCCTTTCCTACAAGATAAGCTTTATTTCACCACTGCCTTCCTGCCCTGGCCCTGGATGCTGGGCTCTGTGAGCTCTGTGAGTCCCAGCCGGCTGCTTCTGACCACTGTGGGTGTGGGGCTCATGCTCAGTCTCCCAGCCCTGCCTTGGCTCCCTTCCTGGGCCCTGGGCACCTCCTGTTGCTCTGTATGGGAGCTCTCCTGTTCCCCTGATCCAGGGAACCCAGCGCCCACTCCCAGAACGAGCAGCCTTGGGTTTGGGTGATTGAGCGATAGGCAGTGGTTCTGGCTGCCCTCGGGCTGCTGTGGCACCTCTGGCATTGCTCAGTGTAGCTGGCTTCCCTGGACTACATTATGGCCGAGTCCCTGCTCTCTCTATGTGACGTTACCACTCTTTCCCCCTGTGATTTCAGAAGATTCAAGTTGAAGACAGCAGAGACTTCAGAACTTTCAGCATAGAACAGGCTTGTGAACATTTGGTTCAGAGCATCTGTGGTATAAAGAAGATTACATGCCTTTCTCCCAAACATTTAAAAATATGTCAGTTGGAGTGTAAGCTGGGTTACTTCTGGAATATGTTTCTACTTACGTATGTACTGGAATATTTATAGAATTGTTACGCTAATTCTGCCCTGTCCTCTGATTTCAAGAGGGATAACTGTTTTACTACTGATGTGTTTATGGAGAGAGAGAGAGAGGAAGAGTTTCGAATAACTGCTGCAAACATTTTTTCATTGATCATGTTTTTAAGAACCGATAGAGCTGTAATCTTGGATTTTGGTGGATCTTACCACATGTTTAATAATTTAGAATATATTTATTTCATCAGTATCTTTAAATTTAAGACATTTAAAATTTATTTTTATTATAGAAGTAATGCTTTTTGAAAAAATTCAAAGTGTATAGCTGAAAGTAGGTCCATGTGGCTCTAATCCCCTGTCCCATTGTTTTTACGTGACTGGTAACAGTTACTATACACCCTCCTAGACATTAAACATTTTATATACGGATATATAATACATATACAGAAAAACATAGCATGGAATCTTTTTAAAGCAAAAATGACAACTTTCTGGACTTACTGCTTCGCAGCAGTCCATGCCTTCAGACACCGAGTTTGAATCCCAGTTCCGTCACTTACTAATGTATTAGCAAGGCATATAACCCCTGTGCCTCAGCTTCCTTACCTATAAAACAGACCAAATAATAGTACGCACTTCCTTGGGTTGTAGAGAGTTAAATGAAGTAATAGTTAGAAC